TTGTATAGTTGTATGCAAGATAATAGCAATATAATTGACATCTCATCTTCACAATTATTTAAGTCGACCAATAAAGTAGTAGGCTTCAGAGAGAAAAAAAATCTCAAAATAAATTGATGTCAAGAGTTTGAATTTGAATGAATGAGTTGTGATTTGTACCTGTAATCCTGGGGTTAACTCGTTCAATGTGATGGAAAAAGATGTTAGATTGTATTAAGTGAGATTATCAGGAGGCAGTGTCCTTTGCCACAATAGATGTGCGTCACTCATATCCTTTGGTTTCACATTTGTAATTCCATTTATGTAATACATGTTGTCGTCCCATTTCCAAAATACCGTTGCGTGCTTTTTTCCATTAACATCTTCAACAAACCCATGTACCTTTTCAACAATAATTAGGGATCAAAATTCTACAACAATTAATCTTAATGTGACCATTTTTTAAGCATATTTGTCTGGTGTGGATTTCTTTCAAGAATTGACTGTTCTTTGAACTTGAGCTTGCATGCATATTCTTTATTACCACATATATGCATCATTCCATGATGATCACAGTAAACTTTACCCATAATAAGATTATAAATGCGAGTTGTAACCTGACAAGACGAGACCAAAATCAAAATGCATAAATAAATATGGGGAAATTTGACTAAAATCCTAAATGACCATTTTACACTTTTTGCATTTTTTTATAGCTTGTTCCACTGGAAAACCTCACCATTATCAAATTCTAAGGTAAGAATGCCAACAGGGTCAAGTTGAATTGATCTCCCCCTAAAATTTGGTTCTGATGTTGTTGTCCCCCCAAAATGTCCACCCTCTACCTTGAGAATGACAAGCTATGAGAGTAGGATGATGACTCATCTTTTCAGAAAAGAATCAGACTCCTTTCTTAGGGTAATCGGCCTCATAAGTTTCCCTAACAAAGGATTGAAAGGTATCATTCTGAAGAGACGTATCCTGAAACAACAAAAGCAGCAACATTTAAAACTCTTTCAAGACTGTTTCCATGTTCATAAGCACGCTCTAGGAGGTAAGAGTACTCCAGATCCTCAAAGCATTTTTGTAGAGATAAAATAGCCTCATTGAAATAAACAGGGAGACAGACACATGTCAGATCCTTTCCAATGTTATCTTTAATCAAGGACCACATAATCACTCCCTTTTCTTTCTCACAAGGATCCGAAAGCTTCTTTCTTCTCTCAATAATCACTTCAACCGAGTTATTAGACTAACCTGAAGTTGATTCGAGGATATCTTAAGAGAAACCAACATACAAAGCTTCCCAAAGGCTCCAGGAAGATTTATCGGATAGAGCAGCCTCTTCAAGATGATTCACCAAGCTTTTTTTGAACTCCGCCATCCGCGACCTAGCGATTCAACAAATTCATGATCGGAGCACTCGCCTAGGGTTTTGTACATCATTGATAGTTGCACACATGGAATAGAATTGAGTAGCTGCGATGGTTATAAAGAAGAGATATTAGGTCAAACATATATTTATTTTGTTTCCTTAATTGTAAGTGCAAAAAACCAAAAACCCTTTTTGATTTACTTAATTATTTAATTATTTGCTAAATTGTGATTGGTACATTTAGGAACACAATAGTTACTAGAAACATTTGAATCTAGCTCTCTCTCTCTCTCTCTGTATATATATATATATATATATATATATATATATATATATATATATATATATATATATATGTATATATTAAATGCCAAAATGAGTTTGTGAAAGGAAATCACTATTCATTTGGTTTTATATTTTCTAGAGCTAAATCTATTAAATTCATATCATATTATAATTATTAAAGCATTTAATACAAAAATTCAATTAAGGTTAGATTTTGAAATAACAATTTTGACTCTTTTTATAGCAAAATTTTATATTTATACATTTTCCACTCAACTAATTTTGAAATAATAGTTTTCATTCCTAATTATTATAAAGTTATATAATTGGTATTTTGTAAGTTGCGATTTCGGTCCTTTATTATATCTTAAAGTTACATTTTTAGTCGTTTACATAATTTGTTTTTATAATGTTCAGTTTCATTAATATTAGTTTTTACTAAGTATATTAGTTTTTATTAATTGTCTTGTGGTATTGTACCAAATATGATATATTTTAAATTTTATTTTTGTCCGTCTCTTTTATACATAATTATTAAGATAGAAATTTTATTTTTATAATTTTGTGGTAGAATTTGAAAAAGCTTATTTTCGGGCCTCTAATTTTTTTAGCACCTTGCTTATGTTTTTATTTTTTTGAAGATGAAAAAAGATTAACAAATGTTTGAATATAATTACAATTGTTCTGTTGTTTGATTTGACTAAAGATCGTCATCATAAAAATGTATAAATTAGAATCAATGTGGTAGAAAATAACATAGTAGTTTGCAATTTTGGGCTATGGTTGAAATTTTTTTAAACTACAAGGATGCCTCTTATCAAATGTTTAAAGATTTGACTGAAAGTGCGAATATAATCAAACCATAGAGACCAAAATAATAATTTACTCAAAATCATATTTTCATGGCCTTTTTGATTTTTTTTTTTAATTAGAAAGAATGCTTTAGTAATTAAATCAAAATGATGAGCATTATTGAAAATATGAAAGAGATGCTTTGCATTTAAGATATAACAAAAAAATAAAAACAAAAATATATAAAAGACAAGAAGTGACATGGTGGCGAATGTTATAGGCGGTAGTATAGAGGTGCAAATAGAATTTCTCATTTTCATTTCACTTTCATGTTTTCGAGAGAGAAGCTATGGTAGAAGTCAATGCTGACATTAGCATTGTTTACATTGAATTCTCAATTGTTGTAAATGTATTGCCGGTTAAAGTGATGGGAAAACAAAAGTTGATCTGATACATATTTTTTTTTGTTTAATTATGAAAGTATTGAATTTGAATAAAATTACTATGAAATAATGAAACAGATGTGCGAATATTTCGTTATATGTTCAAATATGGTTCATATGTGCTACTTAAAATAGATTTTGTTTGGCAGACTAGCTGAAAAGCTAGCTGATAGCTGAAAAACTAGCTGTTAGCTTATAAGTTAGCTGTTAGCTTATAATCTAACTGATAAAAAATAACGTTTGATAAAAACTAACTGATAATGTAGCTGAAAGACATATAAAATGACATTAAATGACACTTAGAATGATATGTTTTTTGTAATTAAATAAAGATATATTTAGGAAAATTTAAAAAAACTCTTAAAAAGCTACTTAGGGGGTGTTTGGTTTAGCTTTTTAAGGGACAAAATTTCTTTTTGGAAAAGTTACAAAAAATCAGGTTTTCCTGACTTTTCTAAAAAATTGATTTTCCTTCTATCAAAAATCCAAAAGTAGGTTTTAAAAGTGTTTTACCAAACATCTTTGGTCTTATATTTTTTTCTAAAAAATCTTTTGGCTTCTCAAAAGCTAAGCCAAACACCCCTAAAAGTAGTTTTTTAAAAAACTAGCTTATTAGTTACTTTTTGGCTTGTCAAACATGACAATTTAAAAAAATTCGAAAAATAAGTTAACTTATGAGCCAGCTGTGACTTGCCAAACACAGCCTTAATACAAAGTTAATAGGTATTCTTCTTGATTTGTTTAGTCAATCGTTTTACAGTGTTTTTGATATTTCAAGTCGAAGTGTTCACTGTTCATATACTAAAACATAAAGGAATTTGAAGTTTTGGTTTTTTACTTCTTTTTTCCTTTTTTGCTTAGAAACACATGTGAGAAAGCCTTTTATTTTCACTTTCTTTTTTCTTTTATGATTTTTTTTTCCTTTTGCAGGTTTTCTTCTTTTAAGCTATTTTCTTGTTTTCCTTCTCAAAAAACATGTTTTTCGTGAAAAAACAGAAACATAGGAGTAATAGAAGCGTTTCCTTCAAAAACAGAAAAAGATACTAAATATTTATAAAGCCGCAGATAGGTGGACCATGGTCAGAAACAGCAGCAGAACAATTTAAAAACTGCCATTCTGTTCTACACTTTATTTCAGAAACAGGGGAAAGGAAAAAATAAATATCCGGTGTCTTTTTTCTTTTAGATCTCGACAGAAAGAATAATAAAAGAAATTGCTGTTCCATTAAACCACTGGAATTCTACACTCTGCAGAAACAGAATTTATAAAGCAGAAATTTGTAAATCGGATAGATTCTTTCTAGGTTCGTTTCAATTAAAAACTTTTGTTTTAAGATTGTACAAACATATAATGGATAGGCAAAAACGAAAGAAAGAAATGAAACTAAGTTACGTGTTATTCATTTCTTTATCAGGACAAAATAGCAGTAATGGTTTTTCAAGACAAGTCCGAATATCGCATTGGTATACTATAGTAGTAAAGTTCCTCCACACCGAAAGTAGTTTGATTATTGGTATTCTTATTCGTGTCTATTTTTTTTTTTAATAATAAGTTTACATAGTACATCTCAATATGTTTATCAATTGACAGTATTTAATTAGTTAATATGAATATGATGTTAATTTTATTGATAACACTGGTTAATTTCTTTATTATTTATATTTAATGCTTACTATTCATCTTTTAACCTAATGTATTTCATTCACATATATTATATATATAAACATCATCATTTTATGCTACAAAATAAATCTAAAGAATTCAAATATGATGTTTAACGTAAAATCTAAATCGAAATATTAAAATAAGTAAAAATATTCAATAACTTTTATTTATAATAATATAAAATTTCCAAAAAATTAGGTTATAAATTCATTAAAAATGATAATTCTTAAAAGTAACGTTACCTTTAAAACAATTATTAATATTTAGAATAATTATCGTGGTCAAAGTTAACAAATGACCAAATAAGTCAATTTAAAAAGTAATCATCAATAATAATTAGCCACACGTAACTCATATGGCTAGAGACCAGTGAAATTAAATAAACGTGGTTCTAATATTTGTTTATAAAAATAAAAATTATTATGTAGTTAATAACAATGATATACATATGTTCATTAGTGTCAAAATAATTATATTCCCAACAACCCGATGACACCTGTCCCCCTGCTTGTGTAATCCCTATAAATACCAAACCGAACAATGAAGGGAGATGCATATGTCTAAGGAGTATTATCCACACAAGTATTTCAAACACTCCACTTGACTAAATGAAGAAGAACATGAATCTCTCGTCTTCTCCTTCTCCGTTACTCAACAAGCATAAAGAAATACGACTATGGCCTTCCTGCAAGCACCCAAAAACCCTCTCTTTCCGAGCCACTACAACAGATGATGATTCGTTGTTTATAGATCCGAAGGAGTTTTTGCCTGAGGCAGAAGTCGAGCTGACAATGCCTGGTTCCTACTTCAGTAACTCATCGGAATACACCACTGCCAGCATGTCGACTGAATCCGAAACAGCATACTTTGACAACAACGAGTCCTCCGTGGAGATAATCGTACGTGGGGTCAAGTCTGAAAGGTTGTTTTTTAAACCCGATACAACAAGTGCGATACTTGAAACTACTCAAGGAAGTGGTAAGCAACGTACACTAGTAGATATTGATCATGGTGGTGTTTTTCCGTATAAAGAGAGTGTGGCAATGGTGATGGAATCGGAGGATCCGTATGGGGATTTTAAGAAGTCGATGGAGGAGATGATGGAGAGTCTTGATTTGACAGATTGGGATTGTTTGGAGGAGTTGTTGGGGTGGTATTTGAGAATGAATGGGAAGAACAATCATGAGTTCATTGTTGAAGCTTTTGTTGATTTGGTTGCTGGGATTTCAGGTGGTGATGATGATTCCTGCTCCGATCATTCTATAGCTTCTTTCACTTCAGCCGCTTCCACTTTTTCTTCTCCCATCTCATCTCCCTTATATCAAGTTGGTAGAGAGAAGATCATCGAGCAAGGAAAAATGGTAACTAATTAAATAAGTCTTATTAACTTTTATTAGATAGCTAGCTTACTTACTTCTTCAATATTATATACCAAGTAATGACACATTTACTACACCTAAATTGCCATGCATGTCTTCGGTTTTATAATTTCTTTTAGTTAATTAATTATTTATTATTACTATTATTATTTTTACTAAAACCATAGGTTCCATTAATTGACCTTTCTAGAACGACATCTAAATCCACTCAAAAGCAAAATGTTGAACCTCACTACAAATAAATACATTGTGGTTTACAATCACCGTTTCTAAAGATAAGCCGGTTCCTACAGATTCCCAAAAACCTAGGTAAAAGACCTCACGACCATGTCAAAGAACATGATGCATGTTGTTTACAAGATTGCTGTATTCTGCCCTTAATTTGAACAAGCTATCCAGATTGGGACTTAACGTGGGAAAGGCATTAAAACACTTGTGCAACTCCGCACGTACCTCAAGAGCAATTTTGCAAGCTGAAAAGAATGTGAAATTCAGTTTCTTCATGCTCATTACAAAAGGGACAAAACATCAATGCATTCTGGTTGCTTCTAGTCGGGAGTCTACCTAGATTCATACTATAAAAGGAGACACATACCTTTGATAAGCATGACATGTTATCTTAGGTGGATAAGTTGTTGCTAATATTATCGTCAATTCTTTTGACATATTAAATTTATATGAACACATGATTTCTATTGACAATATAAATTCATTGGATCAAACTTGACACCTAACCTTGTTTGAGTAGAACCATCGGTAATGAGAGAACTTATGGTAATGCGAAAATCAAATTGATACTTTATAAAAAATATTTGGTTTGACTTTTATCAAATTGATACTTGATAACCTCCTTCTGTAACTTCTTGCAGCTTCTTGAGCTAACATTATCCATGATCGAGCATATTCTGCCACTATAGCTTTCATATGGCCAACTTAAAAACCAAATTTAGATAAGGAAATAAAAAACATTTATTACAATAGCATTTTGTTGCTAACCCATTTTGACCCCATTTTTGAATCATGTGGCATAGTCGCCTACTTTCAACCTGCATAAAAATTTGATCTTTTTAGCATAATTTTATCTTCTTTACCTTAAAAAGTAAAGAATTAAACAAGTGATTTCACCTTTCATTTAGGCATAAAGATAATTAGCAAGTAGAAACAGATATAGAATGGTTAAAAAGCCTAGCCAAAGTTTATACCGAGCTTTAAAATATTTAAATGGAACTTCTAGCAAGGTAGCACAACATCTATATGCTTTGTTTTCCGGTTTTTTCGCTTGATTTTCTCTTTTTCGTGCTTCTACCTTTCTTTATGCTACGTTGCTTTTTAATTAGAAAACACCCATGCACATATATAATAATTAAAAAAAAAAAACGGACTTAATTTTATGGCCATATATATTTGATGCCCCGGGCTGTAGCCCAACTGGCCCATGCTTTAGGCCTTTCTTCCTTATTAATATACATATTTAAAAGATAACACGTTTATGTTTATGAACAATAAACTTACTGCTTGTTTGACTCCTTTGGCTCAATTGTTTTATTGTTATCACTTTTTGCCAAAGTTTATTTTTATTATATTTTATTTTATTTTTTTGACTTCTTTCACTTAATTCTTTTATTTGTTACCACTTTTTGCTCTCTTACGGTCTTACCAATTATACTTCGCCTCCTCTTTTGCTTTAAACCATTTCCATTTTTTTGTCGTCACTTCCTTAATTTTTTTAATGTGCTTTTATTTTAGCTCTTTTGCTTTAAACGATTTCCACTTTTTTTGTCGTCACTTAATTTTTTTAACGTTCTTTTATTTTAGAATAAAAGATGAGTCATTGGTTGGTACCCCCTCAGTTACCCATGTTTTGGGCTCATGTCTTTTGCTTCACACACAATTAGGTGCTGTTTGTTTTTTAGAAAAGAAAATGCGTGAAGTCTGCGGACCACCTCTACAATCCTCTGTAGCAGAAGAGGTGGAACAAACGGCTACAACGTGTAATAAAAAATATATTTGTTTTTTAACGTCTGCAGACTGCTGCAGTAAGTTAAACTAAAATGTGAAGAGGTTTGAAGCAGTTGGTTTTTTAGAAGACTTATGACTTAAAAACTATTGTTTGTTTTTTAGAAGACTTATAACTTAAAAACTGTTGCGCGTGTGCTGCGTGGCGCAGTAATAAATGGTCTGGAGTGCTTTTAAAAAAAAAAAACAAACAATACCTAATAACATTTATTTGGATTCTTGAAACAGTAAAATACATAACAATACCGCTGCAACATACTTACCACTTGAAAACGCCCACAAAAAACAGATAACAATGTTACCCGTGGTTCACCACTGTCACACACTCTAATTATCTTTTATAGGACCATTTAATAAGCTATTTAATATAAGGGTGTTTGGAAAACTACAATCACAGAGGCTCACTATTATATCCTATTGACATAATCAATATCATTAAAGTTGATTATGTTTTCATTTATATTCTATAAAAGACATATTCTCATTTCTCAGCAATCACGATTCAACTTTTCTTTTACCAGCAGCTTCCACAACTTCATTAATTTCATCCACATTCATTAAGGTCTCGTTTGTTTTTCTATAAAAGTACTTTTTGAACACTTTTCCCTTCTGACGGGTAGACGTTTCGCAAATGCACGTCTTCTTCCGCAAACTTGAAAAAAGACAAAAGACATTTAACCACTACCAAAACAGACAGCATCTATGTTTCTTCTCTTTAGATTGAAAATTAGGAAAATTTATCGTATTACCTTGGAATACATTTTGTTCTATTTGATACGATTCTTCGTTATGATAACATTCTAGAACTTGTTTCACAATAAATCAATTGATAGCTAATTTTTAACTATGCATCAATTATTCTTCTTTTCGTTTTCCCTGACGTTTAGAACAATACAATTCAAAATTTTTAATTGTAGACATTTTTTTTAATAAAAAAATCAATGTTAATAACGATATATATTAGTAATAAATTTAACTTAATTGGGGAATTTGGATAGACGTTTCTATTAACGAGAATATAAACACACACACATTGATGTTTTATTATTCATATATTCATCAAAATTTTATTATTTTATTATAAGTTTATGTATGTGTATTTTTGTAGAAAATTATAATTTTAATTTTAACTTGTGATTATTCATTTATTCATTGTTGAATAATGATATAAAATTGTGGATAAAATTCATTGCCAAATATAGTGTTTTTATATTTTCACACTATATAAGGATAGTTCAAATAAAAACAGTAAATAGTGTGAGAACGTAAAACACTATTTTTATGTTATTATTCTGCAATAAATTTTGTATCTAAAACTTTATGTCATTATTCAACAATGAATAAATGAATAGTCATAATAAAAAATACATATATACAACATTCATCTCAGAATAATGATGAATAATACAGAATAGTAACATAAATATAATGTTTGGATATACAATCACTTCAAAAATACACATATACAACATTTATTATAAAATAATAAAATAAATATAATGTTTTTACGTTGTCACAATATTTACTATTTGTTTAGTTACACATTTGTATTATTCGAATTACTTTAATTGCAATTGTCGGTTGAAAACTAATTTTGAACAGTTTGAACATCAAATGTTGTAGTGATAATCTGTAAGATTGTGATTCTATCTTGACTTGTTACCGCCGCAAAATTGAAATGATGACCATGAAACACTGAAACAAAAATATGTAATGCTAATATTCTTTTTCCTTGTTGTATACTTAATTTGACCCTAAAGCCCAAATTCAATTTTAAATTTTGAGTTATCTTTGAACCTTTAGTGTAGTGGATGTGTAATGTCTTTACGTTGATCTCTAAATTTTAATTGATATTAAATATTTATAATACCTAATATTTATTGTTAATGAAAAATGAATGAGATTTATAACATGCAATTATTCTTTAATTAATACTTATTTCTTCTAATTTTTAATAATCAAATATTCAAACTATAAGGCCCTTTATGATTGGAGACCCATGCGACTGCACCAATGATTAATATATTTATAGTATGCGTGAGCCCTCGGTATAAGACTGTTTGTAACCTTAAGCGCCTTAGCTACACGCCCAACAACTATTTCTCATAGATACCATAAACTTTAAAACAAAATTCCTACTAAGAATACAAAACAAAATTCATACATACCACTTGGGTTGTGGTGACTTGGTAAGACATGTGAAAGATATGGTGGATAACTTATTGACCCATGTTCAAATCCTGGCACCACTCAGCCTTTGTGGCCATGGAGGTTCGCCTGCAGTGACTCCAGGGCATGAGGCAAAACTTTATGTTTGCAGCGGGGGATTAGTCGGTGCGCGAAAGCTGGCCCGGAAACCCTCGTTAGGGAAGTTCCCTTTCAAAAAAAAAAAAACAAAATTATTAATACAACTTATATTTATATATGTGTACGTTTATTTATATGGATATTTTGAAATCTTAAAACACAATTTTACTGACTTCAAGAGAGCAGTAAATAACGAAGCATACAAACTTACATACATACACCTCTATTAAATACAATGTGTAAGAAAGAAAAGGATGTATTAATGTATAGTGCCTATAAAAGCCCAACGAAGTTTCAAAACCGTTCAAAAAATCCCAATCATGTTTTGTCTGTTCAAAAATCGCAACAAACTTAACATTTTGTCTAAAAAGTCCAACTAAGTTACACTTTCCTGAAAGTCAAATAAGAGAAACGAATGACGTAACTTATTACCGTATAGGAAAACTGACTTGTTAAACTAACGAAGTTTCCAAAATGTTTAAAAAACTCCAATCATGTTTTGACTGTTTAAAAAAAACTCAACGAACTTAAACAAAACAAGATTGGAATTTTATAAACGGTTTGGAACTTTGTTGGACTTTTTAGACAAAATGTTAAGTTCATTGAGTTTTTTTGAACAGATAAAACATGATTTGAGTTTTTTGAATAATTTGAAAACTTCATTGGTTTTTTAAATCATTTTCCCATAAACTAACTTTGAGTTTTCTTTTTTATTGTATACCTTTATAGATATGGATACGGGAGATGTTTCACAAAACAGCTCTTGAGTTCATCAAACTAAATAAGAAGGTCATCCCAAGAATCCTACAATGGAAAAAGTTGATAGACATCAGTTGGGAGTCTTGTATGTCATTTATACATGGATACGAGGTATTTTCGATATATTTAATTAATTAACCAAATGTTATAATTATTATTTTTCTAAACAATTACTATCTTAATTTTTAGGATGTTTATAGACATTTATGGATGCGACTTACACCAAACAATGTCGAGCACTCTACTATATGGTTGATAGAAAGCTCCCCTTTTTCTAATGGTGTTCAAGATAAACAGGCCAAAAGGACACCAAAAAAGATGGCTCGTACTGGTGTCCCTTCACCCTCATCAACGCACAAAATGATCACACCAATACCATTTGCCGCCACCATTATGGGTACATATGAGGAGAGGTTAAGAACGATCGAGGCTACAATCCAAGGATTACAGACTTGTCAGAAAATGATTGCGAATGATATGGTGCAGATTAAGAAAGAAATGTCCAACAGTTTCACACAGATTAGACAAGAACTGACTCTTATGAGAGCTATTGTGCCATGTGTGATGGATAATTGCGAGAATATGTTTGTTGATGGTGATGAATCTATTGATAAGATGGAGGGGGATGAGAAGAAGCATGTAGAGGAGGAAGCAAAGTCTACTCATACAGTATGTGTTGTGAGCTACTCTTCATTATATAATAATAAGTTGTTTTATATAATGCTAGTATGTTGGCATGCAGGTCGTGCCGAATAAGGAAGATGAGAAGGAGGCATATATAAAGGCTGCCATGTTTAAGGATGTAGATAAAAAGGTTGTTGGCATACATGATGGGTCAAATGATGAATGTGAGAACAATAAGGATGACAAAGTTGTCATGTTTGAGGATGTAGAAAAAAAGAAGGTATCTTGTTTACTATTTTTTTCCGTTGTCTGAGAAATCAAATCAATAATATTATGTTTTGTCATTTAGGATAGATCTGTCGTCGAGAGTACTCCTATCGTGGATAAGGGGCCAATGTACAAGATACCAAAAAATGTGGATCTCAATAAGCATAAAAAACGCCCAAGAGCCTATTTCAAATCTTCATATATGAGTATCCCTTCGACTTCACGAGAACCACTCCATCCTCCACATTTCAAAATAGATGCATTACAATCTGAAGAAATATTTGCTTTATATGATAAAAGGGATGAAGAAGCACTTTCTTTTACATATAGAAGCGAATATGTGGGGTATCCTTGGGGCATTGATTTCTGGAAGCATATTTTCTGCCATAATGATCCAATTGAAGAACGTGGTTGGCTAGAAACTTCGGTAAATAATCTAATATGTTTTAAATTAAAAAATATAATAAAATGGATCCACGACTGATTAAACTTTTTACCCTCTATAAATAGCATATCGATATGTGGAGTCTTTTACTATTAGATACGAAGCTCCCGGACGAAAGATGGACGATTATGCCCATCCATTTTATGGCCTTTTTTGACGAGAAGTCATTGATCCCTTTTGCAAATGGATCGAAGCCTCCGTATGTAGATTGGGCTAATGTTGATTTGGTAAATATATTTTCGTATTCATAACGTTTGTTATATTAATGTGGATTTCTAAGATTTAATTTCCACATCATTACACAGGTGTTGTTTCCTATCAATATTATCAATTGTCATTGGTTGACGGGAGGTATGGACCTGAGGACATGGACTTTAACACTTTATGATAGCTCGATTTCAGAAGTATCTAATGAGAAAATATTGGAAAAGCTACTAGCTTTCAAAGAGAATTTCAATGACTTCTTAAAGTCAATAGATTATTGGACAAAGACTGGACGAGAGTCCACCCACATGAATTTGAATATTCAATTTGCCAAAGGTGTACCCCAACAAGTAAATGGTAGTGATTGCGGGGTTTTTGTTTGCATGTGGTTAGAGGCTCTAAGTAGTGGTAAAGAGTTGAACATAAAACAAGATGATGTAGCGGCTGAATGTATGGAATATCGTAGGCGTATGGCACGAATTATATGGGCACGTCGTGACTAATGACGATGTAATAGACATTTGCATCTTAATTTAATAAAGAAAATTAAAATTCAATTAAATATTATAGTACATGTACATGTTTCATTAATTAAACATATAATAATTAACTTTATTTCTATAACTGCGAAAACCGTAACAAATATAATGCTTTTTCGCCATTAATAAATCATTGTCTTTTATTTTTTATTTATTTATTTATTTATTTTTTAACAGCACAGGAATATATTGCAAAACGAGCACAGGAATAAATCATTGTCTATTTTCTTTCAATATGTTGGAACTTTTGGAGAAGTCCAACAGTTTTAATATTGGCATTAGATATTCATTTTCCACAAGTTTTATTTCTTTATATAATCAATAATCATTTCTTCTATTTTAGATATCTACCATCACAACGTCTAGATGTACAGTTTCCCAACAACTTTTTCTATCGCTCTTTTGGATTCTTCATAGTTTTTCATAGCTTCAAAAATATAATGGGACATCTTAGGAGAGGATATGATCCAACATAATAGAAGTCCGAATGTCTCTACCGAATTTAGGAAATGCATTAAGCATGGAATATTGATATTCTTCGTTGACATTCAGAATAAAATTAAATAGAGATATTATAGTTATTAGTATTTTGTTAAGCTTACCATCAAGCACTTATAATTTTACAATGTAAATAAATTTCTCTAGTATACAGTTAAGTTTGCATTTGAATCCTTTTAACTAGATTTTATGAAAAGCAGTTTGATAGTGCCTAAACATTTGAAAAAATTACTTAAAGATAGAATATTAGTAAAACTTTCTTGTTGTTTAGTTTGTAAAAAGTATGCCCTCAAAAAGTGAAAATTTTGGTGGGATAGCGACTTAAAAATGTAATATATTTTTTGATTTGTATATATTTGATCACTGAGTTTTTGTCCATATTTACCCATTCAACTTTTTAAACTGTACATATTCAGTCGTTATGACCGGTTACTTCAGGTTAACCGGGAAAAATGATTTAATAGGGTAATATATTCATTATTTTGTACACATTTAGTCATTAATATTTTTGTACACATTTAGTCATTAATATTTTTTTGTTTCAAAATAAATTATTTTTATTTTTGTACTCATTCAATACTTATGAGTGATTTTTTAGGTTTTCTCACAACATCTTATGTGAGTCGATCATTGGTGAGAGGTGTGGGGCTGTTGATGCTTATGTGCAACATCCTATTTAAATAAGGCAAAACTCCCTAATTAAAAATCTATTATTAAGAAAAATCATTTATTTCAAGGTATATTTATCGAAAATCAGAGTAATATAAAAAATATAGAATCCTCAATACTATTAATAAGTATGTACAGTCTTGCCTTCGTCTTCTCATGATCAACGATAGAACCTGACAACATAAACAACTAGGTGAGCAGAAAACTCAGTGAGTTTTTCATAAAATACCTCATACAACAAACGTGCTATCATGCATAACGGACCCACAATCATCAGATTGGAATACTCTGGCCCAATCAATCATCAGACTGGAATGTCAACATGCAACGGGTCCAATCACTCATCGGACTAGAATACCCAGGGTTCGTGGCATGCCGCCTCAACCCAACCGCTATTCTCGAGCCTCCATGCTTACGCCTTACAGCCGACTCGCACCTTAGCCTACAACACATAACAGGGCCGCTTCAACCTATCCCACTACCATATCTCGACATATAAATAATCAAGGATCAAGTAGGCACAGAATACAAACGATTATCAATCATACATCTCACTATCGCCTACTAGTCCTCTCATAGCACACTGCTCCGCTACCAGCTAACCTCTATAAAATGCGTAACCATACGTAACTAGAGGTGAAATTGCCACCTGAGTAGATGATCCTATTCTAGAACCACAACCAAACAAGGAACATGCAAGAAAGTCCATATCAAAAGTTCCCAGGCTATCCTACATGACTACATATAGCCCCTGTGACACTCCACTCGATGATAACCAACCTACTGGTACTCTAACCAACATACTACTATTGTTGCATCCTAACTGTGACATCCCCATTTTTACGGCCAGAAAAGACCGATTTTGTTTATGCTATATAAAAATTAGAGTACCTCTTTTAATAAAAATGTTGCGGAATTTGTTCCTAGTAAAACATGATAAATACATTATCAAAGCATTTATGAAGAAAAGTATTTTTAATTCATTTTAAAACATTTGGGATGTCATCGTCAATACAGAAACATAAACATAAACAACACTTACATTTATTTACACTAGTGATCTACATCTCTTTAATCTCTCAGTGTAATGTGACTTCATCTCAACACCTATAATATAAATAAACTGAGTGGGTCAGGTTGGGAAACCTGATGAGTACATAGGGTTTTCAACCCACAATAATATAATTATTATGTTTAAACAATCAAACAATCGACCCAATTACCCATCCCCATTATCTTCTTTACTCTTAAGGATCTATCCTAAGAGTCATCTATCTCGCATTCGTTTATTCTGAAGTTCTTTGCTTCCAGAGTTATAAGACTGTCACTAAATCCATAGCTGCCAATGCTCGTTTGTAAAGTACTAATTCCATAGCTACTGGGTAATAAATCCATAGGTACCAGTGTTTATCTAATAGGTACTAAGTCCATAGCTACCAATTCCTAACAGATACTAAGTCCATAGCTACTAGTATTTGTCCAACCGGCGGTTCCTAGAAAGTTAGAACCGGAACCGGAACCGCTCTAGCCGGTTCTTAGATTTTTGGAACCAGTCCAGAAACCGGCAGTTCCGGTTCCGGGAGCGGGTAACCCGGTTACATAACTTTGTTAACTTTTGTCGATAAACCCGCAACTTAGTTCGATCCAAATTGTATCAATTCGCACCAAAGAGGGACAAAATCAGACCAATATATTGTAAACCGGTCTAAGTAACGCGTGCGCGCGCGCACACACACACACACACACACACATATATATATATATATATATATATATATATATATATATATATATATATATATATATATATATATATATATATATAAACCGGTTTCGACGGGTACCCAGCTGCTAGCAGCTCCAAAAAAATAAGAATTGGAACCGGAACCACCTAAGGTGGTTCCTTAACTTTAGGAACAGGAACCGAAACCGCTTAAAGCGGTTTCAGTTCCAGAACCGGCCGTTCCGAGGCGGTTCCGGTTCCAAAAGCGAGTACCCGGTTCTGATGCTCATCCCTAATAGACATGGATTCTGCGGAAGAAAGCTACGAGGGATCCGCGGAATCCACTGTAGCTTCGTGGAATGGAAAAATCGTAAATAAATTAGGGTATTAAAAAAAACCTCAAGATCCATTCCGCGGAGCTATCTTCGACGAATGAATCCATTCCGTGGAGGTAGTTCTGAGGAATAAATCTTCATATATATATATATATATATATATATATATATATATATATATATATATATATATGTATGTATTTATTTATTTATTTATTTATTTCACATCAATTCTTCGAGGTTTATACCCATTCCCCAACTAATTATTTTCAAGAAAATAATACGATAACATGAATTTTTTTGACAATGTTTGAAATAAATATGATGTGGAAAAAAATGGTCTTTTAATTGGAGATCTTTATATAAAAGAATAATTAGAGGTGATGTTTTTTTTTTTTTTTTTTTTCCCTGAAGATCCATTCTTCGGAGCTACCTCCGCAGAATGAGTTCATTCTTCGGAGGTAGCTCCGTGGAATGGATCTTAGAGTTTTATTATTATTATTATTATTATTATTATTATTATTATTATTATTATTATTTTATTAGTATTTTATTATTATTATTACTATTATTATTATTATTATTATTGTTATTATTTTTAAAATGCCCTAATTTATTTACGATTTTGCCATTCCGTTGAACTACAGTGGATTCCATGAAGCCCATCGGAGCTTACCTTTGCGGAATTCATGTCTATACTCGTAAATCCAATTTTTTTGTCTATATTTTGGAATTCAACCCCAAAAAATGTCTATAGCCGGTATTTTCCCTAGAAAATTTCACAATTATTCAAGAAGGAAATCGTTGAAACCGCTAAAATTTTGGGTTTGTCGGTAATCGGTAAGAGTTCTATAAATTTTAATAATAATAATAATATTATTATTATTATTATTATTATTATTATTATTAATAATGTTATATTTTTAATGTTTTTAATCATCATCATCGTCATCATTTTTATCGGTATGCACATCATATACATATACAACCATTGACAAACACAATGTTTGAATAGTGGTGACACCAAAAAATAATAGATTTAATAGAATAATAGTATTTGTTTTTACTTTATGGGGTTGACTCAGAATAGTGGCTCGGGACCTCTCGGGCTCTACATACATATACAATTGTATACAACTATGCATATTGTAACATCTCAATTTCTAGATAATCTGTAGGTAAATGCCTCTGTAGTTAAATATCTACAGATTACCTAAGGAATACGAAATCCGTAAGTATTTACCTATAGGTTACCTAAAAAATTGATATTCACTATTTGTGAACGGTTGAGGTTTATTAACATATAGCGAAAATTAATATTCACGATTTCTACAAGGTTATTTTAATTTCAATTTTTTATCTATAAATGGCACGTATTTTGATTTTGATTTTACTTTTGACGGACAATTACTTTAATATCCAATTATATTTAATTCATCGACAGCATCTTAATTTGTGGTGTTATGATAATTATTTAATTTGATATTTTTTTGATTCAATATTATAGATTATAAATTGCATTCCAATTGTTTTCAGTTTATATTAATGGGTTTTTGTATTGTAACGTCATAAAATTTCAAACCAAAAATTTTCATTTTTACAATCATCAAACATGAGTAATAAGTTTAGGTTCCAATGTAACAATTTAGTCACAACCGATTACATAACAAAAGATAACAAAATGGTTTCCCCGAGTGTGTGTACGATCACGTTGGTGCCTTCCCACGGTCCTCGCTAGTACCTGAAACACATA